TTGCATGAAAGCTAGATTGGTACGCGAGAGAGGCTTTTCCGGGAAGCTAAACGTGGATGGTGCTTGAGGTGATCAAATGGCTCAAACCTTTACATATCGGCTCATCATCCCTTTTAGCTTCACTCTATCTCCGTCATTTTGTTGCCTCTTTATCAGTTGAAGATTCTTGTCCTGATCTTGTTTGAAGTGCTGTTCTAAAGAACTCCTGTTTTTCTTCTCGTCATCCTCATCGCCATTGATTAGTTGCTTCAAGCTCTTTCCATCAATCCCTTCTTCTTCTTCTTCTTCGTCTTCTTCTTCCTTGTCAGCTTCAGCTTTTCCTTTGTCAACTTCTGCAGCAGCTGAATCCATCACCGTAGCCTGCAGAGAAAGTACTTTAATGATATTCTCGTCGGTTGGTTTCAGATTCCATGGCTTTCTGGTTCTTTTTGACATGCTAATATCGTAGCGTCGTTTGCTGGAAATCACCAACTCACTTCCCATGATCGTAAACAAGATTATGCTCGACGACCAAACACCCTGCAGAAAGTATATAACTTTGATCTCTTAAAAACAAAATGTGAAAGAAGAAACTAACTAATGAAGAGCAGAGCGCTTGCTTAATGCATAATTAAAGAGATAATTACAGAATTATGAAGTTGAAATGTCTGTTTTCATGTCTATATTTAGCTGGTAAAATTGAATAGAAGTTGAAATGGTACCAAACTCATTGTGTGTAAACACATCTCTAATCACTTTGCAGTAGCTAACTTTCACCACCTCCAAAAAAGTTGAAGGACAAATTAGGTTTATTTTCTCGAAAGTGTTGAATTTAAGATATTGATTTTATAATTTTGTATACTTTATTAAATTTATTTTAAGTGAAATAATTTATCATATAAAATAAATTTAAAGCCATAACTAAAAAAAAGAAACTTTTAATTAAAGATTTCGTCTGTATTACAAACATGGGAAGCAGAGCCTTCTTTTACTGTTTTGTTCAAGTCCTTCCATTTCTTCAAGACTTTAAGAATCCATTGCGTCTACTCTGCAACTTCCTGCAAATCTCAAAGCCTAAAAAGTTACCTACATACCAATTCAGACAGCTGTATATCTGTGCTTCTGCTTTCCCCAATGTCTCATTGAGATTCGACAGTGACCTTTCTGCTTCCCTCCCCAAAACTCCTCCTTTACTAACCTCAAAAGTCTCACTATTATTCATGGTTTTTTTGCTTTCACATTTTCAGGGAAAGGGCGCATGGCGTCCCTCACCCCAGGATTACTTTCAAAGCTTCTGGAAAACGTGGGAAACAAGGACGTCAAGGTAACAGGAGAACATCGTTCGCCTCTCCTTCAGGTGATAGAGATCGTCCCTTCACTTGCAGAAGATCCTTGGCACAGCAATGGCTTCTTTCTCAAGCTCTCTGATTCTCTCCATGCTGCTTATGTCTCCATCTCCCCAGAAGACGTGGATTTGATTTACGCAGACAAGATTCAGTTGGGTCAGTTTGTTTATGTGGGTGGACTCGATAAAGGCTCTCCAGTTCCCGTTATTCGTGGGTTGAAGTCCCTACCCAAGAGAAGACCCTGCATAGGAACTCCCACTGACTTGGTGCCTAGCGATGTTTTACCCACTCGGCCATCTGTGCATTTCTCCAAGGACAAGAAAACTAAGAAAGGTAGCAACTTTAAGATAAAGAGAGATGGGTTTGATGGCTCCAATAAGTTAAGAGCCATAAATAAGGGTTTGGGGAGACTTAGTTTGGATTCTGCGAGGAGGGTTTGGGATCAGACTCCTTCAACGCCAAGGAATTCTTCTGCTCAGCTTCCTTCTTCGCGTCTGAAAACTAAACAAGTAAGCTTCTTGAGCACTTCCAGTCACCATTTCCTTAAAAAATTGCTGTTTCATTACGAGTTGAAGTGCTGCTTTGTGGGAGTGGTTAAGCACTTATTCCCTCCTCGTAGACCCACATAAAGTTGCTTACTTTCAAAGTTCTAGCAAGAAAAAGAAGAAACTTTGATCGTTGAAGACTTTTAATTAACACTATATTGCCTACTAATGGTCATGCCTTGAGGACATTGATGCAGGTTGTTGCTGATAGGAAAGCTTCTCCTAGGAATGATCCATCATCAAAGCGCCCAAGTCTGAGCATTTCTCCACTGAAAAACAAAAATGATAATGTTTCATCAAAACTGGTGGAGAAGTCTTCAAGAAACTCTGCGAGATCATTGTCTGATGAAACTATTCCTAGCCATCTTGTTAAGGTTCCACTCAATTCCAAAAGTTGGTCAGACCAGAGGATCTCCTGGGACGCACTCCCACTCACAATCAAAGATCTTGGAAAGGTTCAATCAAAACAAAATTTAAAGAATTTCAATAAACTTTCAGCAACAATCTCACCTTATGTCCTAAATGCTTTCAGGAAGCTGTGTCTCATAGGAATGTTTCCTTTTTGGCTGCTGTACAAGCACTGGAAGAAGCGTCTTGTTCAGAGGCCATCATTAATTGCTTACAGTATGTTTCCTGTATTCACTGTTACTATCACTACAGTAGCCTGGCACTAACTCGAAAATCTTTCTTTAATTTGGTGTTCTAGACTGCTTAAGTTGATAAAATCAAGTATCAAAAACATCAAATGCTTGTTTGATTAGATGGACTAATTTATTTAGCAACTATGAGTCATAGCTTAGTTTATTGCAGTGCAGCATGTGCAATGAGCATTAGATCTTTCAACTGATAAAAATGGGCAAGACAAGTATCGGAATGACTTCGCAGTCCTGTTATGTTGCAAGTTATGTTGGCTTCTTTTGTTTGATAATTCATAATAACTTGATCGAGTCAGGTCACATTTAACTGAAATGGACGGGGGTGTTCTTGCCATGGATGTGATTTTTAAAAAAATAGTGGATGCAGTTGTAATTATATACGAATGTAAATAACCCGTTTGTGATTTACAGTATTTTTTTTTTAAATTCTATGGTTAGTGCATTTGTGGAACTGTGTAATTCCTCTCAGAAACCAGGACCATTGGTGGAGCAGTTTTTGGACATCCATCATAGTATGCAGATAGCAGCAGTGGCTGCTAACTCTTTACTTCATGCAAGGAATCCTCAGGCAAATTCACTAAGCATGTGCAGAACATCACCCAAGAAGAATGCCAAGTCCTGGGTGCAAGCTGCCATACACACTAATCTTTCCAAATTCACTCTGTGCAGTAACCCAGAGAAGGCCGGAATTAGCCTTGGTGAGAAGTATCATTACCTCATAATAGAAAATGATCCAAGCAAGTTGATATCTGAAAATAATCCACCTCAAAGCAAACAAAGCCCTCAAAGTCACTACAGTTCCGGACCAGATTCAGATGCTACCCACCGGAGTTCTCAGTCTTTGAAGAAGCATAATTCATCTGCAAACAAAATGTATTTCGGAAAGGACACATTGTCTGGTGAAAGTGGATTAAAGGAGGCAGCAAATTTGGCAGAAAAGCTCCTTACGGTTTCTTGCCAATGGTTCTTCAAGTATTTGGAGAGTTCACTAGATAAACGATTTGGGTTAAGTGGAAGGGAAGGAAGCACTGATATTGCATCTCTTCTGGGACAGCTTAAAAGGGTTAACAGTTGGTTGGATGATCTAGTTGGGAGTGGGATGCAAGCTGATGAGAAGATAGAAGGCATTAGAAAGAAATTGTATGAGTTCTTACTTGCGAATGTTGATTCTGCTATTGCCGGTAAGTAGATAAATTTAGCCGAGAGCTGACAACTTTAACCCCTAGAATATATTGAAATCCATTGACATCCAATTAAACTAGTGATTTTGTATACTGTTGGGAACGAGTTCTCGTATCATGATGAATCTTTGCTAATTCTTAGAAGAATAGGGTCATGAAGTAAGATGACTTATAAAACATGTTCTATTTTCATGGTTCATGCGAATCTAAGAACTTTATTTGTTCTCAACTGCATTTCTCAGCAACATACAGTTTGGTTTGTAAGTGAGTTAAAGCTTTTGGCTTGCATTCTATATCATATTTCTGTGGATCTAAGAGGCTGAAATAAATTCAAAATACTTGTGTTTCTTTTTACATGATTAACTTGGGGGAGAACCAAGATAATATAAAGATCAAAAGCTTGTAATGAAGAAAAAAAAAAAAAAATCATTTTTACACATGATTGATGAATAGAAACTGTCTGTGATTCAGCTGGTTATGAAATAGCTGGAAGGCAAGTCATGGCACCAGTTTTGTCTAAGGCTTTCATTCCTCTACAGGATTTCATGTGAGAGTGCATTTTCTCTGGCTTGAAAGACTTCCCACATTGCCTGCAAAGTTTTTCATTAAAACCAGATTACTATCTTTTGATGCTCAGAAGATTGAATTCAAAGAAATGAGAGGAACGAAGTAGTATAAAAGGAAATTACAGATTATACTCTTCTAGGAAAGTTTCTTGATTCATAAGTAGATGTTCCAGTAAATTTAATCTTTTGAATTGGGAATTATGAATTAAATTGAATTATAAGATTAAGAATATATTTTCCAATAAATTTTTTTGACCCATTTGAGTATAATTTTTAAAGAAAAATATTTTAAAAATTGATATTAAATAGAATAATTGTTGTTAAGAGTAAATTATGCGAAGATGATATAGATTTTATTCTAACTAAATTCAAATAATTTGTAGAAATTAAATTGAATTATGTGATTTACTATTAATTTTTAAGATTTGATTAAGATTTATGATAAATTGTGATTCATTCATAAAAAAATATAAATTGTTTTATTATGAAATAAAATTGTAAGATTCCAAATATTATGAAATAAAATTATTTTATTATGAAACAATTTCGTGAAGAAATAATATTTAACTTTTTTTATGGATTAAAAATAAATTTTTTTAAGAAATTAATACATATTTATAATAAATTAGAATTAAAAAAGAGGAAATGAGTAAATTAAGGTGGCTTACGAGCAAGCAGGGGTGGCTGTCGGCTTGTACGCGGCGGCCAACGGCTTCTTCTTATTCTTTGAATCACTGCTTTTTCTGCATCGTTCGTCGTAAACCAAGCCAAAACCCAGAAAGTTAATACATATATATATATATGTATATATGTTATATTATAGTTATATTACACGTACCCAGCATTGTGATTGTGATTGTGTTTATGTTTTTGATCTAATTCTTGTTGATTCAAAGGATTCCCAACTACCCAGCTGGACCCTCCTAATTCTCCCTCTCCTCCCCCGCAAAACTCTGGCTTATCATCCTTCCTTCTCAGTTTCACCAGTACTGATTCCTCAGTCTCAACACCACCGCAATGAATCAAATTCCGAAACATTTGGGAAGCTCCGCTTGAACAGCTCTTGCTTTTCGAATACACTGGATCAGTCTCCAAGCGCTGGGAATTACACAACTCATCCTTCTTCCCATCATTCATTTCTTCTTCTTCTTCTTCTTCCTGCTTGATGGAATCGTCTGTGATCGTGGATCTGTCGGAGACGAAAACAGGGGATTCTTTATGGATTTGGGAGGATGGTTTTGTGGGTGGTTGTGGTTGGGGTTGGGATGTTCTGGGTACTGCATGAAATGAAATTAATGTAACATGATATGAGATGGGTGGAGAGAGAGATTGAAGAAGATCAGAAATTGAGGAAGAGATGAAATTAAATTACCAAATGGGGAGATAATTTGGGATCCTTGAGAACGTATTCATTATCGGAGATTGGAGTAATTAGATCATCGTCAAGCAAATCTTGCCAAACATATCCATTCTTGTACCTCCTGCATTCATCGATTACTCATCAATTTCCTAAAATAAACTTAATTAACCAATTAATCATACTTACCTCTTATAGGCCCAAGCAAAGTTTTCCGCCATTTCTTTTCCTCTCAACTCCCCAAGCCACCTCTTCACATCTGAATTCATTCATCTCTTAACACTAATTACAAACAAGAAGAAGAAGAAGAAGAAGAAGAAGAAGAAGAAGAAGAAGAAGAAGAAGAAGAAGAAGAAGAAGAAGGGACCTCGGAGATAAACACCAGTTGGATTGAAATGGTGGAGACGAATGAGATGGGGGTGTTCGATATGACCCATGCGGCTGAGAAAGTAGACAATGTGAAGTCTTCTAACTTCTCCTCTACCTCCTGATCCTTCCATTATATTGATTCTCTGTCTGCTACGCTATGCAATGCCTTCATATAATCAGCACATTCACTACAAGAACAAACATTCCTCTGCTTTTCAGCCATCTATATATTACTATTTTATTCACAACCTAAAACCCAAAAAATCAGTCTCCCTAAACCCACCATATATCTATATAATTATATCTCTTTACTTGTCTCTCTTCTGGCCGGCCTTAGGAACCCAAAACCAAACGCACTCATATATTCTAATACTTGAAAACCTATGCAGGCCTAGCAACACAACAATGTAGGTATCAAATGCGTATATAAACAACACAATATTATATAGTATTTACACTGACATAACGGAAATCTAACATTTTCTCTCCTCGAACAAGTAAAAAAAACAAAAGAATCTTGGAATTTCGAGATTACCCAGTACGTTATTGGCCTTTGTTTTCTTTATTTCTTGCCAGGCTTCCCAATCTATACCAGAGAGAGAGAGAGAGAGTTAGAGTGAAAGAAAACGTGGATGGTGAAGAAGAATATTAAGATGAACAAGAAGCGGAAAAGTTTTCGTCTGGTTTGCCGCGATTTAACAAACTTACCAAAACCCTCAAGCAGATCAGACCTTTTGACCAAATATCATTTTCTACCCTTTCCAAAAATTATATATAATTTGGTTTTGCAGCTGCTTTTCTTCTTCAATAATCAATGCTTAATTTGGATCATCAATGCATATATCTAGAGATGCTAAATATAAAATTTTATTCCCTAAATGCATCCAAGTAATTTAATTTGGTATATACAGTGTTTGATGCGGCCTATTTTATTCCGTAGATTAAATTTTAAAAAATTAACATGTTATTTTAAATGTAAAATTTTTTGAATTTAATGTATGTTATATTCTTAGTATACACATCAAAACAAATATGATTATAATAAGATTTTATATCACGTATTTATAGCTTGGAAAATCACACCAATGATTGTTTTCACTATAACATTTTGTTTAGGGATGAAAAATAAGGTGGATTTTAGTAAAACCCAAGCCGGTTTTGAGTGTAATATGTACTTTTATCTCCAAATTTTTCTTGAACCAATATGAAAAAGAAGGCTTCTCTGCACCAGGCAAGTTTACCCATGAAACTAAATGAAATTATTATAATAATAAGAATTAAGCTAAGTTTACAAAGTTTTATAACACACACATATATGTACACAGAGATAGAGATAAGTAGGAGAGGAGTATTGGATACATGCTGAAGGAGAGAAGGTGCGTGGCAGAAGCTAAAAGTTGGGACGTGAGAGTTATCTCCCAACAAATATTAATTAATGCTTTTTTGTTTTATTAAATAAATAATAAAAAATGAATTTTTTTGGTGTACTACAGAAAGGAAAACTTGTGTTGAAGCCTTTATTAAATTACAAAGAAAACACACCCTCAGTAACCTACGAGTCAGCCATCATCCTCTTCCTCAGTTTCTTCAACTCTCCTTGTACGTCTCATGGAAGTCTGATAATGACTACGATCATTATCTCCACATCCAACAGGTCTGTTCATGAAACTAGCGGCAAAAGCAGATGACTGCCGCACCGCTAGAATCGATGCTTGAGATGAAAAACAAGATGAAGCCAACACATCTCCTATTGTTCCTAATTCTTGATTGCTTTCCCAATCCGAAAGCCCTTTTAGTAATGGAGACTTCACTCCTTCTCCTCTTCCTACTATATACAAATCATTCTCGTTCGCCATTTCTCTTATTGCTGCCATTGTGTCTGCTCCACTATTCACCATTTTGTCTACGTAACTCTCACTCGAATTTAATTGTTCGTGGTTTTCAATTTGAAATCGTATAGGAACTCATCGTCCATTTTCTTCTCCCTCCGACATGCAGATTCTCCTGCTACTGAACAAGTTTCCCCATCTATGCTACCACTAACTGATTGTTGTTCTTGCTTCCTATTGCATTGTTCCCCTCCGATAAATCTCACCACCTTTAGCTTCACGTTTGGATCTCCCGCCATCCTCCATGCATATGTTAAAGCTTCTCGATCATTAGGTCCTCCCAAGAAGAACATGGCCACCTTTTTCTTTGGAAGATTAATGCTATTCGCACCAAACCCACGACTTGATGTGGTAAGGAGAAACTACAGTGATGTTATGAGTCATGATAGAGCTATTCCCAGTCTGGAGGAGTTGGAAGCCATTCAAGATGTGGCCAGACTGCCTATCATTCCTTGACTGATTGGCGCAATGCTCTTCTTTAGTCTTTTGCTCGTTGTTTATGATGAGCATGGAGGCTGCAGTATGCTCCGTGAGCTCTACGAGATGGATGCCGAATACACACATGGTAGATTGTGGGGTGGGATTAGAAGGCCGAAGGAGGCTGGTAATGCTCAAGGCATTGTACCGGTTGTGGACACAAGCCATGATCCGAAACTCTGTCCTGGTCACTGCTTTCCATGATCTTGGGCTTGTTTTGTACAGTCGCTTTCTTGGACTTGTAAATTTGGGACAAGATGAGCTTCGTCACGATAGACGTTATCAAAAGAACCAACATTATTAATGGAGAAGTTATATTGTCCAAAACGTGCATATGTTTGTACGTGAGTAATTGATTCAATAACATGGATAAATAATATAAATATATATAAGTACTCAAATATATAATTGGTACATGATATATAATTATGTTTGTGCACCCGCATGTCACGACCAACATTGATGACGACGAGGGCCAAAATACCTTTTGTGTTCATGAGCAAACCTAGAGTCAAACCGTCTTTCCATTCCATGTCATGGAATAGAGAGACTAAAATAGTACTGACAATCTTGACCGTGCAACTCCCTAGCACAGTCCCGGCAACAATGCTCCAAGATACTTTATTAAACATGTGGAAAAGATCGGAGTTGTCCGCTAGTAATGTAGAAAAGAGGCATTAAAAGTGCTGACACAAAAGTATCAAGTTTGTCCATAGCCAAAGTTTTGAGTTCCCGGTCGTCTGGCAATATAAGTCCAAACACGAAAGCACCTATAATGGAGTGGGCGCCGGTCACGTTACTTCCTGGTTTTTGTGGTTTTGGAAATTACCCAAACGAGAGATGGACGTATTACAAACCAACAAAACAAAATGAAGGAAAGAGTGGAGAGCAAGGAGAGAAAAGCCCAGATTTTCTGGAGCTTGGTGAAGAGTGAAATGACGAATGTAAGTTGAAGCCAAGTGAAAATATCAGTGACAAGAGCTGAAGACAGAGCTATATTGCCGATTTGAGTTCAGAAAGTATTACAACGAGATCAGGGAAGTTGGTAGCCCCTAGGGCTACAGCCCAGAATGCACCTTTGAAACTATTTTTAGAAATTTTTTTTTTAGCATCAATAACTTTGCTATAGAAGAAGATGGCAACTAGAAAAGGTAAAAGAATTCCAGCCATGGCAATGCTGAAAGCCTTAGTTCCAGATCGCTTGATTAGAGAGAGGTCTATCTCTAAACCCACCAAGAACACGTAGTAGATAAGAGATAAATTTGAAAAAGTCTCCGGCGCCAACGCATATCGGTATGGAAAAAGGTAATTACTGGAAACCCAAGTCTCCCCGATTCCAGTTGGACCCAATAATAGACCGCACTGCATGTATATAATGAGTAACCAAAACCCAATCAAAGCAGAGATTCATGAGTTCTATATACATATATATATATATATATACACACACACACAAAAGCACGCATATGAGCAGAACTTACGAGAATTTGAGCGACAAAACGAGGCATGCGGAGAAATCGGGTAACATAAAGGATAAGTTGATAAGCAACATTGGCAATGAACAATTGCGCGACGAAAAAAGGAAGAGATGCAGACAATTCATTTGGGCCAGCCGGTTGGCCATGGCTGGCAAAAACGCTGAAAGATAGTGTTATATTTTTACCATAACATATTTCAATTCCCTCATTCGTCTTCTTAAACCAAACATGAGCTTCAGAGTACAGTTTAGGAATTTGAGTTGTTTTGTTCATGATAGATTCCCTTTTTCTAATTTCTTTATCATGAAATTACTTAACATGTGAGGATTAGATGAACCAAGGCCAGAGAAAGTGGAGAGTCATCGTTAATTTTTGCTGTAACTTAATTAACCTACAGACAACCAGTATTGCTATAATTTTTGGTCACGAGTCAAAATGGTTTTTTCTGTTGGACTTGAACTTATAGATTCATTCGTTTACCTTCTTATCTATATCTTTACACACACACACACACACACACAGAGGCTTACTTTCGTGATACTAGCGGGTTTTTCTGTGCTTCGTTATTAACAAAGTGAAATCAAAGGAGAGAACATGAATTATGAAGTCTAACATCTTAAACACAAATCACGGTGATTAATAATCATATTGGAAATTACCTACCTACTAATAAGGTAATAAGTCTAACATCTTTGAAATGTTCCCAATTTTAAATGCATGCTTGCACTAATTAAGTGAATTTTATTTAAAATTTATATGTATATTATCTATCAAAATTTTTTTTTACGTCAATGTATATAAATGTTCAACAATTAGAAATTATAGATAAATATTGTAATACTATGAAGTATAATTCATGATAGATTCCTAAAATCCTAGAAGTCATCTTCAAATAGAAACTCAAGTGATTCTTCTTTTTCTTCTTGCAAACAAACATTTGAAGACGAAACGATGCATAGTTTAAAAAGCTTCCTCTACTGTAGATAAACAAACATGTACAATAACTAGAGATTATAAGCACAAATAAAATATTGCATTACTTTGACGTATAATCCATTTAAGGTTCATCAAATACCAAAATTCATTTTCAAGAAGAAATTTTAGCAAATTTCATTTTCTTCTTATATTTGGAATATATTTATATTAGCAATTTTCATTTTCTTCTTATGTTTGGAATATATTTATATTTAGTTTACAAGAAAATATGATAGTTTAATAGTTAATCTAATTAGTTTCTACGTCCATTGACTCTCGATCTGCGTCACTTTTCAAAAAATTATTCTTAAAAAAATTAATCTTATTGGTAAAAAATACATAAATTTCTCTGTAATACTATTGACAGTTCCGTATTATGCCGATAAAAAGAAAAAGTTTCTTTAACAAAATAAAGAATCATCCTCAAACTAATAGTCCATGCACTCATTCTAAAAAAATTACCTATAACTCAAAAACTTTTTTCTACAAGGTTGAAAAGAAATAGAGAGATCGAATGACAAATCTTATTCTTTCCTAACATTGATTAAGAAAGCTTTCTCAAAGTAAACTTTAAAAGTTGCATTTTAAACTATCTTTTTTAATGAAACTTACTAGCTTATTTGTTATGAAAGGAGAATGTGAAAGCTTTATACCTCT